TTCATTAGGGCTGAATGAATGCTCATTGATTCATTAATATAATTATTCTACTGAGATGGGGGGATTAGCACAGTGATAAAGAAGAGAGGAGGATGTGAGGAGCAATCCGGCCATTCAGCGGCATTTTGTGATGCATGGCGTTGGCTTTCCTGTGGAGGTGATGGAATGATAATAGCGTGGAGGAGGCCCCTCAGTGGCTCTACTGTCTCATACCAGGCTCAGTCATCTTCACACGCAGTAAAGTCAGCACATTTCTGCTGCCATTAAATTTACTGCGGCTCATTGGGGATTGACAGCGCTCCACCACCACCACCATCATTGTGTGGCTTATGAAACTTACAAAAAGACTCACTTCTTAACGCCTGAACGATCATCGCCATTAAACACGGCTCTTAAACGGCCTGAAAGGCATTCATCTCTGCGCAGAAGTCCACACTTGACTGGAAACAGGATGTGAGATTATTTGTTGGTTTTGACTTAGCGAAGGGAGAAACAGGTTGCTGTGACCTCCAAACAAAAAGCTAAAAAATATCACCAGTGGTGTGAGCTGATTAAATAAAGAGACTTATTTCAGAATCACTCCGTAGGCTATAAGGGAGCGATGGGAAAATGTAATGAAGCCTCTGTGAAATCGTTTACGCCTGCAGATTATTTGCAATGCACTGGAATTTTATTGATGTGCTTTTCTGAAGATCCAGAACTCAATTACTGTTATCCAAATTCATTTGTCAAATTTAAAAAATATTGAGTGTTCTTTGCATTTGAACATTTTGTTTGTGATGGCAGAAAAATGCCTTTAAAAGGGACATTTCTATAGTTTTGTTGAGTGTTTCTGTGTAAAAATTATAATAAAACTGCTACTGCCGGTATCAGGATTCTGACCTGTTGCTCCCTGAACAGCCTGAGTTTGGAAAAACAGGATTTTGCTAATTGAAAAAGGCAAAAATGAAGGTCCTGGTCTGAAACCCTTTTATCCACATTTAAGATTTCGATGTTTTAAAATGGAAGCGGTCTTGAATCCAGCTGGATTTTTGGCTCATCATTACAAATAAAAATAGACACAACTCTGACGTAGACTGCTGCCATCCTGAAGCAGCTTCTGTTATCCCCAATTAAACTGAAATTGTTTAGTGAATAGATATTAGTAAATGGAGGAAGTTTATAATTCAGCTTTAGTGGAGCAGATGTAGGCTTTAAAACGAAAACATTCAGCGTTTGTGAGAAAAAAGGGAAGCAGCAAGTCCGTGCATCAACATGAGATGATCAAAGGACCAGTGGGGAGGAGAATTCTGACTGGTGGACCTCCATCTTATCAGCTTGGTAGGGCGCCATTTTATGTGTTTATCAGCTGTGCGAGTAAACATCACAACACCATGTGGTCAAGGTTCAACCAAATTTAACACACTGTTGCACGATTTTTGCCTGGCTTCAATATGCACGTGGAACTGTTTACCTTGAACATTAAAAGCAGAAATACTTTTTTTTTTCAGAAGGTGCAATCTAGAGGCGGAAAAAAGTACCACACCTGACGTCTCTATACTTCTGTGATATCGCTGTAAGCAACTCCTGTCATTCATGAGCGTGCACATCTAGCAAGTCAACAGGGCTAAAACACATCGTTTTACAGTCATTACACTCACGTTATGATCATACCTGCACATTTTGAAAGACTTACATGTTTATAAGAAATGTCGTCAACTCTGCATCTGTTCAACATCTGAGCTGACGCTGAGATCCTTCTATTAGGTAAATAAAGAGGGTAAATTCTTGCAAGTGTTGTGTCAAAAAAGCTTGCTTGCGGAAATTTTTCATCCCCTCTTGTGGGAAGGCGCGTACGAGTAACGAGGCACCTTTTTAATAAATTTCTACTACTAACATGTTTGTTTTCCGTGCTTCCCTAGGATGGTTCATGTTTAAAACGTGTTTAATTACATGTTTTATTTGAAGTAATAATAATAAATATTTAAAAGGTTAGTAATTTTAGTCACATTGCTGCTTTAATTAAACCAACAGCAAAATAGTTTAAGCAAACATAGTTTTTTTTAAATCATTAGTCTCAAACATGTTAAAAAATACATACTGTAATTTCGTCATATTTCTAGTCAAAAAGTAAACTTTTTTAGGAGAAACACAGATTAGAAATGCATTCACATTCTGAATCTAATAAAAAAAAAATTGCCTTATCGCTCATAATCCCAAACGTTTACTTCCACAAACTTTTGTCTGTCTCCTTTATCGCCTTTGGATTTCAGTCAACGGGGCAGTCCATCACACACCACCAAAGAAGAAGCAAATACATCCTTGAACATCTTTTATACATTTGTTGTGTAATCCTTCCATTGTTTTAATTCCCTGTTTAACACCAGTGTAGTAGAAGATTTGTTTTAACCTTTTTTTGCTGACATGTTTTGGCTACCACTGTAGCTTTCCTCAGAGCGCTGCCGACAAATTAAAACAAAGAAATACATCCTTTTTCAAAATAAAAGACTTAAGTACCTTTGTCTGCTTATGTTTCAAATAAAAGCTCAAGTCTAAATGTGTCCATAGTTGATGCCAAAGCCATTTCATAAGTTCAAACTGTTCTGGAGCCAACACCATCTTTGTAGCTTTTCTCTGCTGCAGCTCTAGTGTAAAAAAAAAAAAATGCCCAAAAAACGTAGAGCACTGTGATTGGTAAAACGCAAAACAGATCAAGCCAATGGATGAGCTGCTGTGACTCCAACAGACCAATCTGCAGAGGAAAGTCTTTTGCTACAGCTGGTCTAGATTTTTAGGCTAGCATTAATGCAAAAAAATTCAAGTTTGACATTGTTGCATCAGCTTCGCCTCTTTTTTCAATCAATCAATACTTTATTAATCTCAGAGGGATTTCTTCCAAACTGAGGAAATTCAAGATGGTGTGTAAATTAGTGTAGTGATCTGTAGTTTGTATATTTATACACTGTAATTAGATCTAAATATTATAATCAGAAGTGGTTGTTTTTATCATCAGGGAGTTTACTTAAACACTCTGTATTGACTGAGAGACAAGAAAAGAGAGAGTTGGGATCGTTTAAGAATCTTTAATTTCTATAATTATAAATTCTTACAATCTACCAGGACTAACTCAATGATGGATGCATATGGATTTGAATGTTATAGTGTTGGTGTGTGTGTGTGTGTGTTGTTCAGAATCTCTAGGCTGACGTAGCGAAGCTGGTTGTTATGACTAGGCTACCACGAGGCTTCAGGAGCTGATGACATGAGCCGCCATTTTGCCGCAACTACGTACCCTGTGGAGCCTCCCGTGTAGATCAGGAAATGCCAGGTCCTCGGACCTTCAGATGTGCTGGAGCTGGTGAAACAGCGGTCGCAGCACGACAAAGCCCGTCTGCGGATCGACTCCCGGTATCAGCGGCAGGCGTCAGCGAGTTAGCTCTTATTTTGAAGGAACGTCGTCTTGTTGTTCAAACGACGGAAATCTCCAGCTTGACAGTTCTCAGCTTAAAGTAGGAAAGTGCAGCTGGCCAGCCTGCAGCTTTCTTAATGATGACGATGGAAATCCTTAGGACCTCCAATTGAACAGAGCTGAGGTTAAAATGGAACTGAGTTTAAAATGGCGTTGCCTTGTTTTATATCTCCCAGTTGTTTACAAATCTTAGTAAACCGGATTGGACAACTTCATTAAACAACCCAGATTCTGCCCTACAACAGACGAAAGTTCTGATTGGTTGAGAACAATGTGTCATGCGTTTCCATGTCAATGTAGATCAGTCTGTCTGGTGCAGTCCTGTTTATTCATTAAACACATAACTCATGACATCTTTATTTCACAGATCATTCACCTGATTATTAATGATCAACATATGCTCTGATTAGCTTTATCACGAATAAAGTACTTTGATTAATTAATGGAAAGCGTTCTTCTTCTCTTCTTCTGTCTCTTCTCCTGGAATGTAAACATACTGAAACCAGCATCCGACCTTGGCGATTCCTACACGTTGTTACTGTGTGAAGGGGCAGCTGTTAAGGGCAGACAATAGGATCTTAATAACGCTACATTAGATAAAACACTATTAGTGACTCTCACAAAACAACGTACTTCCTTTTAAGGCTGAACGTGTTTGCAGTTACATTCTGCACAGAAACAGCTCATTTATTAATAAGCTTAAGTTGTAATGTCTGCTTTTTGAGACCTAATAATAACTGGAGCTTTTTTAATGAGCAGTCACGTTTTTGAGCTAGGGAGCACCCTCCTCATGTCAGATTTTCTCAGTTTCATCTCAGAGGTCGCTGCACACAGAAGGTTTGAAGGGTGTTTGTGAGTCTAATTTTCTCCGGCTGTGATGTTGGGGCCACTGCAGGTCAATGAACTGCTGCAAGAGCTAGCCGAGTCGGAGTTCTTCTCTCCACCTTACTGGTTTTCAGTCATACGGTGACATTAGATCAGCTTCCTGGCTACTGTGGATATTTCCCAAGACTTCGTATCATGTAGAGCCGCCTGCAGCTTAATGGATTAAAATGTAGCAGGTGGAGAGAAAATCTACTCTGTAGGTTCACTTGGCTTCAACAGGGGTTTGTGTATGTCTGCAACATCGACGCATGTAAAACATTTAAAGTGGTTAAAAGCTGAAAGCTGATTTTTACACGGATTTCAAACCAACAGTTTGTTCTTGGACAGCACAGAATTGGTAATCTCTCCCACTTGGCAGGGGAATTGCTTTATTTCTTGAAGGTCTTGTGGACCGTATTTGGCTCCCATATTTCCCAAAGCAATTATAGTCGGGGTGAATTTAGTTGTCTTGTGCTCTCCGAGGAGAGCAGTAGGGAATGTTTGTGTATGTGTGCATGTACGTGCATGTCTGTGTGTGTTTCTTTTGCAGTCTGTAGTATTTGTTTTGGTCAGAGACACAGCGCCCTCTGCTGGAGAGGAGAGACACCTCTCCTGTTCTTGCTAAGTGAAAACCCTTTATGAACAGGTGCTCATGTGTGAAAGTACTGCTCTCTTCTTTGTGTTTCAGGTGCGTGTGAGTGCTCAGACTTCACCTCCGGGACAACCTGTGAGCACTGCCTGGATGGTTACTATGGCAACGCTTTGATTGGCACGCCTGCTGATTGTCAGCCTTGCCCTTGCCCAGACCGTAGCAGCTGTGCCCAAATCGCACAGACAGGACAGGTGGTCTGCACCAACTGCCCTGCAGGACAGACAGGTGACATGAGCATCCAGCAATTTAAAATAATTGCTATGGACTGTAAATAAAGTTATATTTTTTAGCTTTATGTTGAGATCAAAACAATGTCCCCACGTCTGCTCAGCTCAAAGAACCCGTCTCTTTTACATCAGCCTGTTGGCTGCATGTGATTCAGACACATTTTAATTTAATTATGAAAGACTCTGAAGTCACACAAGGTCGCCCCGCGGCGTTGTTCTGTCTCGGTCACTCATCAGATTCCTGCCCACCTCTCTCACCTTTCATTGTGTGTGTGTAGGCACACGCTGTCAGATGTGTGAAGACGGTTACTATGGTGATCCCCTGGGAACATCTGGGATGGTTCAGCCATGTGTGAGATGCAGCTGTAATGGCAATGTGGATTTCAACTCAGTGGGAGTGTGTGACCACATCACGGGGCGATGTTTGAGGTGCCTGGGCCACACAGAGGGCGATCACTGCCAGCGCTGCCAGCAGGGTTTCTACGGCGATGCCTTAAACCAAACAGCTGGTCAGAAGTGCAAACGTGAGTAAATAAGGGGGCGGCAAAAATAACATATCTTTGTGGAAATAAATGAATGTCATTTGATGTATTGAAGTCATGGACGTAATTTGGGGGGGGGACAGGGGGGACATGTCCCCCCCCCCACTTTTTCTCAAGTCAAGTTTTGACCCCTGCACTTTTTACCATCCAAAATCAATATTACACTATATTAAATTGACACTGGTTGAGCTCTAGGACCAAGCAGAAGACAACCATTTGTGTTGAAGCCTGTTTCCCATGAGAACATACTGTAAAGATCCCCCCCCCCCCCCTCCCCCATGTCCCCCCACTTCTAAAGTGAAAATTACGTCCATGATTGAAGTCTTTTAAATAAGAAGCTGGTTTAATGATCCATTGTGGAGTTTACATGGCGAAAAGGTCAAGTTATTTTGCAGGGATGCAGAAATAGTTTTCACGTTTTCAGCTCAGGAATTTCAGGTGTGAAGGAACAACTCTTGAGTTATGACATGCAGGTGAAAGTGAAAAGGAAAAACCACTCTGGGTCACTTGGTGGAAAGAACAGGGAAAAATGTTAAAGAGGTGTAAGTGAATCAACCTGAAATCATGTTAGAAAATCAGGAAGAGACCCAGAGAGCAACAACTATGATATGTTCACTCTTTGATTTTCATAACTTTAGATTTCACCTCTCACTTTAATCCCAGCTGAATTTCTGCAGGGATCCCTCACTTACCCAGACTGCTGTTTCCTCCAGCCCCCCCCCACCCCCACCCCCCCCCCCACCCCCCCCCCCCCCCCCCCACACACACACACACACACACACCACCACCACCACCACCACCAAGCACTAAAATAAGATAAATCTATTTAAATGTGCCGAGTGATAAGCTGATGCATGGATATTTAAGGTGTCAACATTCTGTCCTTATCTTCAAATTACCAGCTGGGTTGTTTTATTTGTGTCCTCTAGCATGTGGCTGCAGTTCTGCTGGAACCTCTGGGCACGTTAATGAATGCCACCCTCAGACAGGAAATTGCCATTGTCTGAGTCATGTGACCGGGCGCGACTGCAGTCACTGTGAAGTTGGCTTTTTCAACCTCCAGCCAGGCATGGGATGCGAAAGGTGGAACAGATTCCCACTGCAATTCAAAGTGGATCTGTAGGAAAATGTATAATAACAGAGATGAAGACGTTGAAACTTTCATTAAGACGTTATTTCCCTGCCGTCCTCAGGTGTAAATGCAACCCAATTGGCTCACTGTCGTCAGTGTGCCATCCAACCACAGGGGAGTGTGTGTGTCGTGCAGGAGTGGAGGGGAGGCTGTGTGATATTTGCCGTGCGAGCTTCTTTGGATTCTCCTTGCGAGGTTGCGAAGGTACCGCTCTTACTTATCATCACCTCACTTTGCACCAAAGAAGATTGCATTTAAATGTTTCTCAGAATCTCAAAATGTGATATTTCTTCTTTCTTCCCTCTTCTCTTGTTTCTTTTGACCCCTAATTACTCTCTCCAGCCTGTAACTGTGACCCAGTGGGCTCGGTTTCCATGCAGTGTCACAGTAACGGTACCTGCAAATGTCGCCAAGGCTTTGTGGGGTACAAGTGTGACCAGTGTGAGCTGAATTATTTCCACAACAGAGCCACCCACCAGTGTGACGAGTGTCCAGTTTGTTATGGCCTGGTGAAAAAACAGGTGAGCTATGTCCGCCTACTTTCCTTGACGACACCGCTTCAGTTCATTGAGGTTTGCAGATGTTCACTTATGCACAGCTCTCTCATGGTCTCAATGGACACAAGTTGACAGATGAAGTCAGGCAGAAGTCCTCATGTTGATGTTTGAAAACGACGTTGCAATCTGTGGCGAGAGTATGTAGCAGGTGGGAAAGAGTCCAGAGGGGTGGGAGTGTGTGCTGGGGAGAAAAATGAGTTTGGTGAAGACGTTCCAGATGGAACTGCGTGTTCGGACAAAGGGATCCCTGGTCGTCTGGCTGCAAAACCAGTCCAAACCACCGACCCCCGTTCTTTACAGGTTATGTTGCGTGTATCTGTACTGATATCCTGAGTTTTGTACTCACCGAATGTACTGTTAAACATTTTGTCCAAACAGCTTAACCTCTATTTGAAGAACATCGATGCAGAAGACTTGTAGTTGATAGGTTTTTGTAAATAAGGTAAGCTGAAATGTTCTTTTTGAAAAAGGTGCATCTCTTTTAAATAAACCACATGTTCAGGCTCCTTAAAATCGGACTGTCGTGAGCAAATAACATGTTAATTAAAGTTGGGGTAAGTAGTTTATAAATAAGTGTGACTATTTCACCCTTCTCTGCGAAATAAAATAGGCATTTTTTTGTAATTGATATTTCCACTAAGTCCTTTCACTCGAATAACCAGCATAAAAAGTCAGAAAGCAGCGGTACTCAATAGGTGGCCCGCGGGCCGCTGTGATTCTCCCCCCGGTCCGGACCTCACGCTTCCAGATCGTTCTGTTGAGTGGCTCTCAGACCATTACATTCGAGTAACCCTGACCTAACGCATTGACCAATAGAGTCACTAGATAAAATGCATATCCTTAAGATGGAGCTGTCAATCCGGGAGAATGCACCCCAGTTCCCAGCATCTACACCAACCTAGCTTAAATGCTAACTCGACCCGCATTAAATCGATGTCTGTCTGTAAATGTGAAGCTAACTGTGAAAGAAATGAGAGGAGAACGAAAGGTCGTCCATCTTTAGTTAGTTTTAGTTGGAGCTACGTGATTAGTGCAGCGCTAAACCTTACAGTGCATCAGATTATTGTTTTAGGCTGTTTTAGCGTTAGCTACGATTGCAAGTGTTGCTTTTAGATGTTTTTCTGCTTAAACACTGCAGATTTTATTAAAATTTGTGTTTAGCAGCTCCTGTGGAACCCAATGAGGAGATAATTGCTGTTAGACTTAAGCCGGGCGAACACTGTGCCACTTTTTCACTCGTAGCACTCAGCTTCAGCTCAAACTGTATGACTTCCTCGCAGGGCAGATCTCACAAGTCATGTGCTCACACTGTACGTCTGGTAGCAACACGTCGGCCCTAAAAATATGCTAAAAATAGCAGTTTTTACTCAACACGTTAGACTTTTTTGTCTTGTTTTTGCCTGTTGTCCTTCGGGAGTGCTGCAGGAGGACACACAGGGATTTATGGGGGTTGGATGAGGAAAACGAAATAAAGAAAGTAAATCTGTGTTTTGTGATCAGTTTAATTTGACAAGAACACGACAAACACGCTTTCTTGACAATCTTTGTGAGTAAAAAAACGTGTAGAAACAAAAACGAACAGCGTGTGTTATTAGGGAAACAGCGGGCGAGCGGTGGTGATGCAGGATTGCGCATGCGCCGTGAGCGGTTCTGGTACTTTTTGGGTCGCAGCTGCTCGCAGCGCCGCTTCAACAGTGCGATACCTTCACGAGGGACGAGCAAAATATCAAACACGCCGGAAGTCCGTGCGAGCTCACGATTGCTGATCGGTAGCTGGTCACGTGGTGTTAATCGCCTCTCGTAACCCCCTGTACACTACACGACCGCTCGGCGCAAAACTCGCCCCGATCTCATGGATTCTCGCACGAGTGGAAAATCGGCTCAAAAAAGTGAAAAAGTCGCACAGTGTACGCCCGGCTTTAGGTGTGTCTGAGCAGGAACATATTCAAAACATGCAGCCACAGTGATCCTATAATGCTATTTTATATGCATGCACGGTATGAGGCGTGGCTCTCGGCTCCTTCTAGATTTTGAAATCTCCTCCTCCTTATCTTGATGACATCACGCTACGGACCCCAGCTTTGAGTTGAGCAGATTCTATGATTAAGGTCATCACTATTGACCCAAAGAGACATGGCAGCTGAACTGAATGATTTCCTCTAGCAAATAATATTTCTCAAATGAAATTGACGAGATTCTAAGAAGCTGTTATTTATCGTTTCAGTTCAACAAACAGCACGTGTGTACATAGTTTTACAGACATGTTCACATCTTGATTTAGTTTTTGAACAATGAAGTCTCTTCCATTACACTTGAGTAAACATACATTTGTCCTCGCTCCGACTCTTTTTCTCCTCTCATGTTTCTCCATTTTTCCAAGCACCATCATGCAGGATTTCAGGAATATATGTGGATCATTCGGTTGCTGCACTAATTTTGCATCAATAGGCTCCACACCTACATAGTGTTTCTTGGCTCTTGCGGTAACAAGGCACCATTCTTTAAATGCCAAAGTCCCCTGAGAGCATGTTGCCTTCGCAGACCTGCACGACAGCCATATGGCTCCTTTGTATTTGGAGATTGCAGGCAAACAGTGCGTGTGCAGTGAAATGGAAAGAGACATTTGCCCTAATGATCTCCTGAGCTTCTTTTCTGTCCCTTTAGATTTGTCACGGCCCACGTTAAGATGCTGTGTCTTTGGATTTGCCTTCTGAAGAAAATCCAATACCTCCTGACATGTTCTGCTTTTTTACCAATTATTTTTTTTCCTTGCACACATTTTTGTCCCCGTTAAGGCGGCTGCCCACTCTCTCCGGACCAGAGTGTACCTGTATGAATGCATGCTGTGATTTCCGCAGTGTTAGCAATTCAGCAAACATCCCAACCCTTGTCAACACTGAACACCTGCAATTACTCTATCTGTCCTCTGTTCCCCTCTGCTCTCCATCTCCGCCTCTCACGCTCCCTATCTGGCTGCCCACAATTTTCTTAAATGTTTGAATGGAACAATAATAAAATCGGGAAAAGTCAGAGAGATGGGATTGATTTAGGGGAAGAAAATAAAGACAGCACTGAAAATAAGTTGGTTACGAAGTAAAATTTGTAACATTTTCTTTTTTTTCCTAACTTTTGCTCAGAGAGTTAAAGTACCACAGAGTAGTTTCCTGCTCCTCCGCCCTACTGGTTGAACGTGGAATTACAACGATCGTAAACAACCCTGCTGCAGCCTCCTGTAGCTGGCGCTATCAACAAGCTAACACTAACATGAGACAAGTCTTACGCAATCAGCCACAAATCTAAAAGATCCACACTGTTGGACAAACAATATTATTACTCATAATTTATAAGCATATATAGTAATATTGGTTCTTCAGCGTGCAATGTTGTAGTTCACGAGAGCTTGTGGGAAAAGGCCAAATGCATGTGTCTCACTCTTAATGCGTGAGAGTTGGCAGCCCTGCAGACATTACTCTCTTACTTTTACTTCCAGGCTGCACCATGACGCCAACAGAAAAGCAAACTTCTTCATTTTCTTCTTCTTGAGCTTTTATTGAAAATCAACAAACTGAAAAAGCTAACTGCACAGAGCATATCTAAAAGTCGTTATTCATGTATAAGAGCGCCACCTAGAACACCTACCCGCTCCGCAAAACTGTTAGGTGCAGAATCTGGTCAGTAGAGGGCTGCAGAGTGGTGTCAACTATGAAACTGGTCGAGTTTCTAACCCAACAAAGGTTGAGATCAATGTTAAAGCTCTAGCTTAATGTTTGAAAATCTACTAGTGGTACTTTAAAAGTTCCGGTAACTAACAAACGATATTCCACTTCCAGAGGCCGCTGCTGATAATCAGCAAGTGAATTTGTGCAGCTCATGCTACATATCCCTAGTCTGGATATGTGAATATATAGTCTGGCCATGACCCTTTGATGGATCTCAGTCATGGGGTGGAGTCTTTTAACGCCTCTGCATGCTCTTGGACAACAAACAACAAGACATACTCGCAGTAAATCGATTTAAGTCAACAGAAGTCTGCCATACACCATCAAAGAAGATGCAAAGACATTCATTTTCTACATAAAGGACTTTGGTACCTTTATCTGCTTTTGACCCAAAGGAAAGCCCAAGTCTAAACAGTCCAACACAATATCATTGGGGCCGATGGTAGACCTGCTGAGGCTGCTGTGGTGCATGGCTAGACCGACCTGCAGAGCAAAACCCTTTTGCTTTGGCTGCGGTCTGTCTAGATTTCTAGGGTTAGGGTTAGACTAACATGCCTTCTCCTCAGCTAAAACATGTGATGACAGCCAGATCCCAGGTTGGTTTTTAGACATCCAGACCATTTAGCTGCCAGATTTGAAAAATTTGCCATCATCACATCACTTTTATTCAATTTTCGGACCTGAATTTCAGTCTCATCCACTTATCTTCTGCCTTGCTTTCTTCCTCTGCCTGCAACACAGAGAAGTGGTTTCCGATATAAGAACACTATTCGGGCCTTATCACGCTGTTGTTATTCATTTATTCATTGCTTTTGTTGAAATACTATATTTTAATGTGTAGCTGTGCTGAGTCACATTTCAATCTCTTCATCTGAATAAATAAATGGATTTTCTTGTTGCTGTTTTTATTTTATGTTTTCCTACTTTAGCTTTATAAGCTTGCATGATTATTGAAGCATTAAAAATCATGATGCCGTTACAGGCCAAGGAGCTTCGGACTCGCCTGCAGGATTTGGAGAAGCTCCTGGCTCACTTTGATTGTCGAGGTAGATCTGCAGAGCAGCACCTCCTGCTGAAGTATCACATGGCAAGGCTTTACGAGCTCCATCACCAGAGGGAGGATACTTTTCCCAATGCTCTGGAGGATTTTCTAGCCTTTCAAGGTACACAGCAGCCAGAAGCTGAGATAAATCCACTTGGCCTGTCACTCCTTTGAATGTCTCCTAGTAGGTCGTGACGTCTGAAGAGACACACAGCGTGAAGCTAGCTTATTTGCCTTTGTAGCTGTTGTGTTACGTTCTGGCTGGGAGATGAGAACCATATCAGTACATGCAAGACTGGCGAGCTCGGCCAGGGAATCTGACGTGAAAACCACCCCCGGCTGTCTGTAAACGTGTCGCCACTCCGTCTGTGTCTGCCCGGCGTGACGCCGTTACACCAACGGACGCGACAAAGCGATTAAATCAGGAAGCAGGCAACAATGCCAACCTCTCCCAATTACTTCACCACAATGCTGATACATCCTCATTATGTTTGGAGGCAAACAGGCTTACGGGCTCAGCTGCACAGGCCAAATGGAGACAAATCATAACAATATAGGAACATGGGGGCCATGTGACCAACTTAATCCCCATTTACGTGACAGGCTGTGCATCTCTAATCCCTGCTTTATTATGATTATGGTTGCAATCATGATAACAGTTGTCTAACAAACCTCCTCCCAACAGCCGCATCACATACACACACATGCTCTTTAAGACACTTGGTGGCCCAGTAATGATATAATGAGCATGTGGGAGATACAGGCTCACTGTGTGGGGGGCAACTAATACTGTTACACACACACACACACACACACACACACACACACACACACACACACACTTATTAACTCCCATTTCATAAGACAAAGAGACAAAGCGTGTGACAAAATGAAACGGCAATCAGACGTATTGTGCTAATTGTTTGCGCCTGCAGAACTGCTGTGCAGCCAGCTAGATGTGAAACATCAAAGAACACAAAGTGAGTTTGACGAAGGTGTTGGAATTTGGACAGACTCCCATATGGTTTGTTTTTCTCTCTGCAGATAGGCACTGGGGATGAGAGTCCTCGCATGAATTAGCACGGCAAATGAGAGTTTAGAGGGGCGAGAGATGCTCACCAGCTACAAAGAGTTGGAAGAATAACATTCTTGGGGAAATAATCCATGAAAGACTTAATGTGGTTTTTATTTGCTTTCTACTTCCAGAAGCACGGGAGGCCTTCATAAAACAATTTTCCTTGCTGGGAGCTTCAGCTGGCACACTTTTAGCTCAGCTGCATGGCATTACGTTTACTTTGAACTGCAGCATTGGCGTGACGGAGGGAGAGGGAGAGGACATAGAGGAGGATAAAAGGAGTAGACGTGTCTGTCAGACCTTAACTGAAACTGCACTCGTGATTAGAGCATCTGAGAAGCAGCTGCAGCAGGCAACGCTGGACCTGGACCACATGGTAGGTGGCTGAAATGCAAGGGGCTTTATGTTCAACAAGGTAAGTCTGGTAAAACGGTGACAACCAGGTGTTTTACACTTAAAGTGATGCCGTGCAAAAAACCGAGTGTCTGCCCTTCTGGGTTAACAATCAGATGGCTCTGCAACAGAAGGAGGCATTGCATCATGTTTAAGTGAAAGTTATATTGTTATTTGAGCAAAGAGGGTCTTTCTCTGTCAAATTACAGGTGTGCTGAAGGTTTCTGCAAGCTGCATTGCCCCTGAAATGCTTTTGATGATCATTACATCCAAGGCACGATCAGGCAGCCTGAAATTGAGCGTGCCATTGGAAAATCAATACATCAAGCTTTGTTCACTGAAGGAAGAGCAACTCCATCCACTTTTTATAAGTAAATTAAGCACCCAGAAAACAGAAGGTCTGTCAGAAGACGATTGTCTGGCAGTAGCCGCGGAGGACAAGTGGTAGTTTCTAAACCAGGTCTCAGCAGAGAAACCGGGGCCAAACTCCTGGAAAACTCCACAGAAGGTGACAGGGATCCACATTTCAGATTTGTAGCGCCGAGTAAATATGGTGTGTAGAAAGAGACAAACAGGAAGAGAAAAGATGCTACTATAGATCAAATCTGGTGGTGGAAACATGGGGGGGGGGGGGGGGGGGGATAGGGTATGTCTTCCAGACAACTGCAGTAAATTACATCCTAACCAAGAAGAAGTAGCACAAAAATCATCAGCAGATGATGTGGTTTGCATCTTTAACAACGACTCGCGCTGCATCTGGATATAGGCTCAAATATCTTCAGAAAGCTTTTCAGGAGAAACTAAAAACATCCCAGATGTGCAGCTACTGCTAGTAGCTAATGGTCGTGGTGACTGTGTCAATTCTGGGCCCGCTCTTTTAATTAAGTTTTATTGGCTGAACTAGCTTTCAGGTTTTTCCCTCATTTTGCATTAAAAGGCTGCGTCTCCGATGTGGGAGATCTGGAAAAGTTTCTAGGAGGTGACAGAGAAAATGTGATGGCTCGGTCTTCTCAGCCCCAATTGCAGAGTGCATGGTCAAAAGCTCCCAAAAGCCGATGTTGCATGATGTAGTTCTTGTAGTAACACCCGGGGGGGGGGGGGGGGGGGGGGGGGGTGTTGGGACCAGAAGACTTGTTAGTGTTACAGCGCTCTGAAGGAGACCACAAAGTGGCGTAAACTACGGCGTGGTGGAGGGATTTCTGTCACATTATACAAGCTCTGGGAAAAGAGAAACAACGATTTTTGAAGCAGCAACAATGTTTTTTTTTCCTTCCATTTCACTTCACCAGCAAATCTTCCAATTTTGCACATGTTGGTTTGGCGACATCACTTCATTTCCTACTGAGTTGCAACCAATCAGCTTGAGTTAATAACAAGTACCGCCCAGTTCCTCACTGAACTGCCCCAAAAGGTTGCCCTTTCGACTGGCCTGGTTAAATGGAGACCCATGAAGGTTCAGTAAGAATAAAATTACTTGGCAGTTGTGATGGAAACTGTTGTGTCATTATCTTCCCTGGACATTATTTACTGTTATCTTATGTCTTGGGACAAAACTCAAGGAATACCCGGGACCACATCTAGGAGTTAACCCTATAATGCCTGAATATGAACAATAATAATGAAAATAATTTATTTCATGAATCTTTTATCATAATCATTTTCATTTCATTATAATTATATAGCAATCTAGTTGTGAGAAAGAAATAAAATTGGCCCTTTCTACCCGCAGATCCTCCACAAAAGGGCAGTAGACATATCAGTCAATCAATGTTTATTTGTATAGAGCTTTGCATTACCCAAGCAAGGACCAAAGTACATTTAAAATGGAATTTATAAACAAGTAAAACATTTAGGAACCACCTTAAAAACAGCAGAGCAGAAGATTCAGTACACCAGAGCATCAGCAGCTCAGCAGGCAGAGCAGGTTTTCCAATAATCGGAAGGTTGTGGGTTCATTCCCAGCTTCTGCCAGAGAATACAGCTGTCGTGTCCTTGTGCAAGACGCTTAACCCACCCTGCCTGCTGGTGGTTAGGGTTAGTGTTCGACAGGGCTCACCTCTGTCAGTGCGTCCCAGGGCAGCTGTGGCTACATCGTAGCTCATCACCACCAGCGTGTGAATGTGTGAATGACTGATTGTGTTGTGAAGCGGCTTGGGGGGTTGCAGAACTGTAAGAAGATGCTTTATAAATACAGGCCATTTACCATTTACCGTTACAATACCCCACAGTGTTCAAAAGCCCTGCAAGAGGTTTGCTTTCAGTCCAGGTTTAAACAGAGTACTGTCAGTAGGCGCCCGCGGGTCAAGCGGAAAACAAGTGATAGCTCTACTGTCTGTATTCAGATCTTGAAACATGCAAACAGAATAGACCGGAAGATCTCGTTTCTCTACCATGATTTTGTTATGAGAGACTGTCTGAGCTAAAGGAATGGACAAGAACACGAAAACCTTTAGACGCAAACATTAGAAACTTGAACTCAGTCGTAAAGTTTGCAGGGAGTCGAAGAAGTAATGAGAGAACTGGAGTAATATACATGGGACTGGAGTCCACAAGAGGGTATTAAGTATTAGCACCATTGATTTTGAAATTGGTCAAGTTATCTTTCTTTTTTCAATTTTCTTATGAAAATACCTGAGATATTAGGAAACTTCCACATCAGACCAGGACATGCATCAAAGACCGGGAGGTAAAAATCTTGTAGTCATTCTGAACAATGGTTGTAATTTTTAGAGACTAAATGTGTCACATGATTGATGTGCTGCTTTGTTGTATTGATTTAAAAGTTTCTAAAGGGAACATCCAACCAATGTTTGATAGGAGCTAAAATGAGCAGCTTGATCTTCATCCAACAGCAGGCCTTTTATTGTCCTTTTGCATCATTCTTTTATAAACACCGCTGCCATCTTATTTTGGATTTGGTGTGACGGCTGCTCCTTTCGAATTTTACCGATGGCGTGCGTTTGTGAACACACGCTCTAAACGTGTTGTTCTTGTCACTTGCAACTTTGTTCCTAATCAGTAAATCAGGCAGTTTCCCAAAATGAGCAACGATTTAAACAGTGTTGATTGCGTTGCACGTTTTATTTGCACTTTTCCTAAATTAGACGCCACTCATTGAGGCACTACGCATTCAACTTTTTAAACTGTTGGGAAAAACTTAAAGGCTGTTTGTTTTCTTCCGCGTTCTTCTGAGTTAAAAACCTTTTGATCACAAATGGTTTTCCGCCCAAAAAGTCGTGCATTTGTCTGAACTGCTCCTCGGTCGTACTCGTAGTTCTGACACAGCTCCGTGTCACTGTGAACATTAAGCAAATAAATTCACAAGGACTCTACATTAGTTTAGTTTATTTCAAACAAAGAAAACATACATAATTTTTTTAAAAGTACCACAAACAGAAAAAATACATATCATCCCTTCTGTGTTTGAAAAGGAGTAGGCTGAAGTGGAAACTTATATATCCCTACCCCTTTATACAAGTAATTTTTACTTGTTTACTAAATCTAACACAAAACCTACATTAAAACAAACAAAATGGTACAAGTCACTAAAAAACCACCAAATTATATGGAAAAAAACAAAAAAAGAAAAAAAAACATCTTTTTACAATTGATACAATTTACTTTTCCTTGGAATAAAGGACACCCACATAAATCATCTATTTTCCACTATATACTTGTTCAGAATATGTTTTTTATAATTCATTTATAAATATAATTTCTATCATTTCATTTAAGGTGTCAAAATAGTCAAAATAAGTCTCCCCACAGCCAGACGTCTTGTTCGTAACGCCGCTCAGTGAGCTGCTTTCTCTTCCTCTGTTGTTTTCACAGATCATTCCTTTTGAAGCGATGTCAGCACCGAACAAATGGAACATTATGGTCAATGACTCACAGGTCCTGATGAAAAGGTAAGTCGGGTCAATGGGCCTTTAGTGGTCAATTAAAAGCAGATCCTGCCCCAGTAATCTGTGGATCCTGGCTCTTGTGTTGTTTTTTTGTGGAGGGAGCGGGTTGTAACTTACGATGTGGTTAGACCATAGGCGTCATTTTAACCGGGGACGCCGGGGACATGTCCCCGGCAAAATTTGTGATTGGCAGCTGTGTCCCCCCCACTTTCAAAAAAGCCTGCTGATGAGGATTTTTGTTTTACCAGCTCAGATCTTATACCAGGGGTCGGCAACCTGTTCCCATCAAAGAGCCATTATTACCCATTTCCCACGGTAAAGAAAACACCGCAGCAGCCGCGGCGTTGTGGGCGGGGCCTACCCTCAGACAGCAGAGAGCTGCTCACAACCAGGTGACAGCAGCCAGTACCGGTCGCTCGCATGGGCGTCGCACCCGTGGGGGATTCAACACCCACACTTTTCCAGCTGTTTTGCTCATCTCCACACCAGTCTGGTTTCTTTATGTCGCACACTCACTCTGTTTGCCTCATCTCCTTCTTCACCTCCTGCTTCTGACAGCCGATGTCGGGTTTCCAGGAGAGCAGGAGAGGGAGGGACGGGAGAGCTCGACTGAATTAATAATTTTTACATCTTGACATTAGCTGTACAAAGTCTGAGTTTGATAAAGTGAAGAACAACCATTTGCAGAGGTTTATAACTGGCGCAGTGCCAGGTTTTCATGGGCCACGGTAATTCTGGACGGACCTTAATAAGCAGTGACTTAAGTGAAGCAGGCAGGTCGCGCTAGAAAATTTCGTTTAAAAAGATGCCATAAATGTTTTCCCCCGTCATTTTTATTTATAAAATATGAAGTAAAAACTCCCAGTTTAATTTTCATTCATTTGTCATTAATATGTAGTCTACACCCGTGCGTTAAGTGGACCATCTTCCAGTGAAAGCAAAGCTTCCAGCCCACCTCTCCAAATGCGTAAAATGTGCACCACAGCCGTTAGGCGCGCCGCGCGCACCATTAGCTGATCAGTCCAGACAAGAGCAGAGCAAATAGAGAAAGAATAGAGTATAATTCTGTCTGGATGTGGATGGAGATTACATTTTACAGCAGCTTGATCATCATTTAAATACGTAAACCATCACCTGTCTTCTAGTCCACGCTATCAGCATTATTTTAATTGGTGTGTGTGTGTGTGTGTGTGTGTGTGTGTGTGTGTGTGTGTGTGTGTGTGTGTGTGTGTGTGTGTGTGTTTTCCACTTCCAACACTGGTCTAACCAACCAGACCAGCATGTCCAGTAACATATTAATGTTACAATTAAACAGTTTCACTTCATGTAGGCTAGGAACATTTCACCTGCCGTGGCCCACTTCTGCTCCACATAAACTTTGTGCGTGATCAAATGTCTCTACATGTGCTTTCTGAGCTGCTATTCTGCCTCAGACTGGTTGCGTCATGCGTCTCCATATTAGAGACGGGAACAAGTGCTGTTCAGCCAAAGTTTCATAATTTCATAAAAAGAACATTTTTCCAAGTGACACATCCCTCAGAAAGACCGGGTTTCCAGACCGCTTCAGTGGGAGGAAATCTTATCGTATGCACCGTGGTTCTGCACTGCGCTGCGAACCCCTCAGATCTTCAGCCCACTGTCCACCGTGGGCACTCCGAGCCGCGCTGAACACAGTGTGCAGTATAAAGCTCTGATGTTCTGATGGGAATCAAGTTACCTCTGCGATGTGCGTATTAAAATGTCAGCTCATCCATGCGCATCAGTGTGCGTCGGGGTAATTCTTTCAAAACAACCAACATCCTTGAGTTTATCCATCAAAATACAGTCAAATGTAAATATCTGTAACCTGCCATTTAACTGTTTTGCCTTCTTGTGAAGATTGTTGCAAAGAGAAACAATTAAACTTGATTTACCCCAGAGCCACGCACACTGCGCTGTACGTCGTGACTGTAAATGAGGGGAAATGATTTAATCGGATCCTTTTCTTTTCAACATGGTTTAATGTAAAGTTTCATTCAGTACAAACTTTAGTTACACCAATCTAACTAGACAGAGCCTGGATTTGTATTCTGAACAGTTTAAACACGTTTAAAACGGAGACGTGTGTGACGCGTCTAAAATTCGCACCTGCTCCGCTATTATGGAAATTACACTAACAAGATAGATAACATGAAATTATTTTAGGCACAGACAACATCTCCCACACTTTTGAAAATCTTGCAACGCGCCTGGTCGCTCGTGTACGTCAAAGTTATCTTTCATAAGAAGATAATCAATAAAACGATTTATATAAAGTGGATCCAGAAGTTGTAGCCCGTCTCTGCCTACAATATTTTGATATTTTTCACCCTGTTGGTGGTTTTACTGAGCAGGTGCCACTTTTGTCATACGTTTCTTTTTAAAACATGTTTAGACTGTTCAGAATACAAATCCAGGCTATCAGAACCAGAGCGCATGCGGGAAGGTTCCTCCCACTGAAGCAAGTGTTTTCCAAACCCTGTCTCTCAGAGACTTGTCACTTAGAAAATGTTCCCTGATTATGAAACTTTGGCTGAATAGTGCTTGTTCCTGTCTCCAATGTGGCGACACATCCAGGAGCTGAGGAGAATCCCAGAATCTGACATCCTCCAGCTCAGGAAGCGCATATGATTATTATGCACAAGCGTGACGCGTCAACCCGGTCTCACAGTAAGACCGGGTTGGAACTGTTCAGGTTTACGCAGACAATCTTTACATTTAGAATTAGCATACAGATGTAAAATTAATGCAGTAAAATATAAAGCATTTTATTTAAATATCCATTCATTATTTTACAAGCACAGAGAGCCGCATCAGATGGATGGAAGAGCCGCACGCGGCTACAGAGCCGCCGACCCCTGTGCTAGCCTATATTGTCCCCAGCAATTTTTAAACCCCACTCAAGTGCATTGTTATTGTCCCCAGCAATTCTGAAAACAAACTGACGCCCTTGGGTTAGACCACTGTGAATCGTTGCTCTCGGCTGCTCGGAGTGTGCAGCCCCATTAAGCGGTAGTTCCAGAAACCTGGCCTGGAGATCCGGTGAGCGGAAGGCATCGGTGCTGAAATTCATTCCACTTTCCCCCTCAGGCAGTCGCAGCAGTCTGTTATTCTCGGTTACATGCCTTTTCTGCTTTTTTCCTTCTCTCTGTTTTTCTTTATTTTCTTTCTTCCTCTCTCGCAGTCACAAGGAAGTGGCGGACCACATCGAGGCTGTGGCAAGCAGGGTGGTGCAGGTCTCAAATCGGACTTTCACCCTCCTGATGGATCTACTGCAGGACAACTCCACAGAGGAGTACATCATGAATCTGACAGAAAAGTGAGCAAATATGAAAAAGATCTCATACACACATTTATACGCACATAAATCATTGTTCACTCTTAATCCCAACAAGCAGCACAAGCCCCTGAATTACACCCCCTTCACAAGTGCACCTATCCTTGTGATTTAACTCAGAGTCCCATTTTTGATGCCACCCCCTTTTTTTTAAAAGCACATTGAAGTCAAGGAGTAATACATTAACCACAGGAGGTCAGTTTCTCCTCGCTGTAAGCCTGTGGCTTCCTTGGATTTGCTGGCTGCGTCGCCTAGCGTGTGATTGCTCTGAGGATTATCCTGAATGCCAGGCAGAATGATGCAAAAAGCCCTCTGGTGGCCATAATGAGTGCAAGGAAGAAAAAGAAGGAGCTCAAAATTGATTACCTTCTTCATTTTCATCTTCATCTATGTTTGTATGGTTCCTAGGAGGCAAAGTGAGCAGCTTCTGCACTGATGGGAAGCATCAAACGGAAGTTTGCCCTAATGCTTCTTTGGATTTTGATACTTTAGATCAGGAGTCCTCAACTAAAAATGTTTGAGGGTCGTAGTTTTTTTCCAGCAGACACCATGAGATGCTATTCTAAACTAAAGTTCAAGCATTTTTGTATCTTAATTAAAGAGCAAATTGCAGGTTAAAACATTTTTCTAATTCATATAAAATGCTGTCCAAAAAATACTATTTGAAATATTTAGTTTTAAATAATATTAAATATTATTATAATATTTAGTTTGAAAATGCATAACAGCAGAGTGTTTGGAGTAAAAAGTGGCCTTTCTCAGCAAAGCTTCTATAAATGCACTGCTTTCTAAATCTGAACCTCTGACATAACCAAAGGGAGTTAGAAGCTCGGCGCTGCCTCAGCTCAGTGTGGAGAGAGGGTAGTTTTAGGGTAGAGAGGTCATGTTATCGAGTCAACATGTGTTTACTAGTTTTGGATTGTGTTCATTTTGACAAGCTATAGTTTGTGAAGGCTGTACCAACTCCAGCCTGTCTGGACATCGAGTCCACAAGTTTCCAGATAAGAGAAACAGCGCCTCTATCTCCAAGCCTGAGGGCGTTTGTGCAGCTGAAAAGACGGCTTTCTGTAGCCCACATCGGTCGGTACTGGGACAGGGAGGTCCATGCTGGGCACCGGAGACCCGTGGAGGGGTTTAAAAAATCAAATACAGATTTCTGGAGCTCAGATCACCGTTAGAACCAGGTCTGAATCGACCACTAGAAGAGACGCGCGACTCGGTGGGCCAGTCGAGCTGGTGTCTGGGTCGGAACCAGATCAGAACTGCCACCTGGACCACCCGGAGTGGATGCATAGCTTTTAAAAATACCAGCTCGACTGGCTCACTGGTGTCTGGGTCGGATCCAGCTCACAGAAGCCCGCATGAGCTCCTGAACCGGATGACAGGTGTCTCTCTCCCACTCTCTCTCTAAGCGCTAAACTACATTAAGTGAATGAGTATTAACGAGTGTGAGACAGCTGCCAGACGCTCATTGTTATTATATTATATTAACTGACCGATACTATTTTAATTGTCTGGTACATGGTGGTAATCTGTACAATATTGTGATGTTAGCACGTGAGTTTAAGCTAGCATCTTTAACTCAAAAGACACCTGCTTCTCCATAATCTCTGCTTTGGCCGATGGTTTCTCACTCTGGTTTGTCTCTGCTCTCTGGGGCGTGCAGCAAACTCATACCTTTATGGTTTTGGTCCATCATAAGTAGAATTATAAACATTTACAGTTTCCTCTGTATCAGAGGAATCCATGTTTTTCACTGGATTAAGCTAACAGGACTCCCTCAGCTGAAGTCAAATGGTTTGGTAAAAAAAAATACATTTTTCTCACAAAAATGACTCTAAAAACCTAAAAAATGTATCTATATGTAAAAAATGTTTGCTGTTTAATATTTAAAAGAACTTTGTTTTCCATCTAAACTTTTTTGATTGTAGTTTTAGTTGTATTTGGAGAATGTAAACAGTTTTAATATTTGGTACATCAATTTTGCTGCTAAACTTCAAAGTACCCCAAATGGAGGGTGTTAGGGCCCAAAGGGCTGGGTGGAAATGTCTGGTGGGTCGGATATATTTAGGTTTCAACAAGTGTATTTAAACAGATGTGTTATTTATTTTTTGTAACTTTTTTTACACACACACACACACACACACATATATATATATATACACACACACACACACACACACACACACACACACACACACAGAAAATGTGTGCTGTTACTTCCTTACAAATATGTCAAATTAGGGGAGGGATGATGGATGAACAGATAGGTGATGGATGGATGGATGGATGGAAGGATGGATGGATGGATGGATCGATGGATGGATGGATGGATGATGAATAGAAAGATGGATGGATGGATTAACAGATATATGGATGGATGGATGATGAATAGATGGATGGATGGATGGATGGATAAACAGATATCTGGATGGATATATGGATAGATGATGGATAGATGGATGGATAAACAGATATCTGGATGGATTTATGTATATATGGATGGATGGATGATGGATAAATGGATGGATGGATGGATGGATAGATAAACAGATATCAGAATGGATATGTATGTATGTATGTATGGATGGATGGACAGATAAACAGATATCTGGATGGATATGTATGTATGGATGGATGGATGGATGGATGGATGGATGGATGGATGGATGGATAAACAGATATCTGGATGGATATATGGATAGATGATGGATAGATGGATGGATAAACAGATATCTGGATGGATTTATGTATATATGGATGGATGGATGATGGATAAATGGATGGATGGATGGATGGATGGATGGATGGATAGATAAACAGATATCGGAATGGATATGTATGTATGTATGGATGGACAGATAAACAGATATCTGGATGGATATGTATGTATGTATGTATGTATGTATGTATGGATGGATGGATGGATGGATGGATAAACAGATATCTATGATGGATATATGGATGGAGGGATGATGGATGTATGGGTGGACATGTGGATGGATGGATAAACCGATATCTGTTATGTTATGTTTATGTTTATTTATTTGTCAGACGCTTTTATCCAAAGCGATGTACAATTTATAATCTATAGGGCATCTGTGGGGGAAACCGGAGTACCCGTAGGAAACTCACACATGCAAGGGGAGAACACGCAACTCCACGCAGAAACCTGCAACCTCCGTGCTGCGAGGCAACAGTGCTAACCACTGCGCTACCATGCAGCCCTATCTGGATGGATGGATGGATGGATGGATGGATGGATGGATGGATGGATGGATGGATGGATGGATGGATGGATGGACAGCAGTGGTGTGCATCTCTACCTGCCTCACGATTCGATCCGATTCCGATTACCTGCCAAAAGTTTCGATTTGAGTCTGAAATGCATCACGATTCTTCAAACAAAATTTTTCTTTACATAATAAAAGCAGTAGAATAGTTTTCAATTTCTTTTTTATTTCGATATCCCTAAAAAAACAGAACATACTGTACATCTATTCACTATAGTGAGCAACAATTTTTAAAGTGTGCTGCCTATAATTACTTAAATAAAATAAGAAATAATGTTTTCTGTAGAGCAGCTTTAAGATAGAATACAACTGAATTTTAAAATAGTAAACAAATACTGTGTTAAGTGATTCTTTCACATCCAGGATCCCAAAACCGAAATTAGCCTAGACATCCGATTGAAATGTAATGGGTACATCTTTGATTACTGATAGTAGTAGTGATGTTTATTTGACATGGACACAGCAATTACATTGGACGAACCAGATGCATTGTTTAGTGTGTTAGCACACGTGCTAATTTACAACACTTGTCCATAGAACCTTTCTAAAAAGTAGAGTACATTTAAATAAAATACAAAGAGATCCACAATAAATCAAACAGAAAACAGATTAAAATTGCAAACAATTTTCAATAAAAAAGAATAAAAAGAATAAAACAAGGCAATTTGAGCAGCAATGTAAGACTTTAAAACTATTCATGTAGACATTGTTGTTTAGACTTTAACCATTTTTTGAGTTCTTTGTTAAAAACTTTACTGTCCGTTTCTAGTTTTAGGTCAGCAGGTAGAGAGTTCCAAAGTTTGGCCCCCTTTACAGAAAGAGCAGACTGACCAAAAGAAGTCTTGCACCGCGGGACGAGACAATTGCCGCAGGTGGAGGCTCGAGTGATCGTTCTATGAGAGCTCTGACGTCTGATGGCCACAGTAGAGACCAGTTTAGACAAGTTATCATTTAAACAATTGAAAAAGAATCTTAGAGTGCTAAAATTAATAAAATTTTCAAAAGTGAGAAGATTTTGTTTCCTTAAAATGCGACAATGATGCCATTTCAATGGTTTCTGGTCCATAATTTTTTATTGCTTGCTTGTATATTAAGACTATAGGTTTTAGAGTGGTGGATGAAGCCTGTGACCATGATGTAATGCAGTATGATAAGTGCGGAAAGATCAGTGCATGCATGTACAGTTTAGCAGTTTGGTGTGACAGGTTCCTTCTGATAAAACGGAAGCAGTTTAAATGTGTTTTAACCTTATTACAGACGTGCTTAACCTGACTGTCAAATTTTAGGTGTTTGTCTAGGATGATCCCAAGGTACTTCACATCACTCCTTACTTCAATGATTTCCTCTTTAATCCTAACCTGAAATAGTTCCTGATCAGGCCTGTTTCTCATGGAGAAGCATATGGACACAGTTTTTTTTAACATTAAGAGTTAGGTGGGATGACTCTAGCCATTCTGAGATGTCTGATAAAGCCTGCGTCAGGCGCTCTCCTGCCAGGCCAGGTGTTTTTGTGGACACATAAATGACTATGTCATCAGCATACATCTGGCAGTTGACGCCTGAGCAGCTCATCGGAAGGTCATTAATGTACATTGTAAACAGCAATGGACCAAGCACAGATCCTTGTGGTACACCCATGTTGTTTGCAAGCAAACTTGACTTGACCTCATTAACCCTATCTACCCTCCAGGTATGAACTGAACCATTTGAAAGCTTCAGGTGATATTTTAAATTGCATTAGTTTATTAACCCTTTGATGCATGAATTATGAAATATTCAACCATGATTTTTTAAACAATTGTTTTCATTCATCTTTAGGTGTGAATGGAACAAATTTCATATTTACACATTTTTTGTAACATTTAATTTACACATAGATTATTACATGTCCACCTCAGTGGACAGCGTGCATTCTGAACATGAAATATGTTGGCTTGACTTACTGAAGTCCAAATGGAGGGGCTCAAATGCAATAAAGTCTTCAACAGCTGTGCTTAATAGCAAAAATAAATAAATAACAATTTTGAGTACCTGTCCACTGTAGTGACCATTATGCATCAAAGGGTTAAGTAATGTTGGCCCTGTATCCCTGTCGGCCATTTCTGTTTTAAATTGGCGCTAGGGCAACGCAGTGTGCATGTCATTGCAACTCTGCCCCCGGAATTAGTGGTAAAACCTCAAAACTTTATTGCCCACGCACGTCCAGAACATAGACGTAGACATAGGGAGAAAATCTCATTATGTCACGTTGCTGCATCGATGCAGAATCATGCACGGCTGAATCGCAATGCATCTTAGAATCTATCATTTTTCCCACCTCTAATGGACAGATATCTAGATGGATATATGGATGGAGGGATGATGGATTTATGGATAGATGGATATATGAGTGGACATATGGATGGATGGATGGATGGATGGATGGATGGATGGATGGATGGATAAACAGATATCTAGATGGATATATGGATGGAGGGATGATGGATTTATGGATAGATGGATATATGAGTGGACATATGGATGGATGGATGGATAAACAGATATCTGGATGGATATATGGATGGATGTATTAATGGATGGATGGATGGATGGATAAACATAAACAGATGGATGGATGAATTTTTGGCACATTTAAAATAGCTATGAATAAATTCATCCATAAAAACTTACATACTTTTGTTTCCAAACGCTATAACAAACAGATGTTTTTGTTCTGCAGCCTTCCTGCCACAGCGTTGTGACAACCTTCCATGAAGAGCACAATACTCCAGTATCTCTGTACTCCACCAAACATGTTAATTATTGTGAAAACTAATGCTTAGCAGCCAAGACCTGCACATGCTATTGCTGTATCTACTCTGTTGATCCAAAACAGACTGAATGTCGTTAATGCTGTGAAGCTGTTTTAAAAAAAAATGACATTTTGAAAATCAGATCAACACCTTTCTTTTGTCATCTGGCTTTTTTTACACCATGTGAACATTTCCTGGCTCCTCAGCACTTGTACATCACCATCATTATCAACGTCCACTAAGACTAAAATTAATGTCAACAACGTGTGTGACCCAAAATGTTCCCATCAACAAGCTGAACACGTACAGGAAATGTGATGCACTAATGTTAACACATCCTGGTTGCATTACGTTTTTATAACTTTTTCTTCTATGTCAGGATAACTGAAATGCAGCAGCTAAAGAAGAACCTGACATCAGAGCTAAATAATACCGAAGCTGAACAGCTGGCCCTGGAGGAAGAAAACGTTGGTTTAAAGCTTGCCCTGGGTAACATCACGTCGTCTTTACCTTGGCTGGGTTTGATGGATTCCAGATCAGAGATGAATGGAACAGAGTTCAACCAAACACATCCAACCAACACAACCGAGGTGAGCCCTAAAAAATGAGATGTTCCTCTCACAGGCCACTTTATTGGCTACACACATTCTGCTGCTTGTGAAAATGAAGCCAATCACACACATGGAGAAGATGACTTGGCGATGTCATGTTCTGTGTCCCTTTGTTCCCCAGCCCCTCCAGTTCCAACTCCAGGTTCTCCTTTTGTGTTCTCATGGCGCCCTCATGTGTCCTTTGTCTGCGTCTTTCCCCATGTGTCTCCTAATGTTTCTCCATCCCTCTCTGGATTCCCTTTTGTGTTCTCTTAGCGCCCTCATGTGTCCTTTGTCTGCATCTCTGTTGTGTGTCTTAAGTTATAGCCACAGCCTCTTGTTCCCCAGTTCATTGTATGTGTGTATGAGTGTGTGTGTGTCAGTATGTGTATGTATTTGTGTGAGTTCTTCCCTTAGTCTTTAGGTTTAGTTTTGTGTTTTATATAGTGTTAGGTTTATCTGCCCTCCACTGGTTCGCTTCCCCATCCAGATAATTGTTGTCACCTGCCTTCCCTCCAGCCTCACTCCACACACCTGCTTCCTGTTTCCCTAATTGCTCCTCCCTGTCTATATGAGCCCTCCTTGTCTCATTGTTCTTGTCGGTCCATTGATGTTGTCAGCGTGATTTATTCTCAGTCTGCTCGTTCCTCTTGTGTTTTTGGATTTCCTGATTTTTGACTTTGCCTTCCTGCCCTTTTGGATTTTATGTTAGTTTTGGGGTTCTTCCTAAAATAAAAGGATTAGTCTTTACACATCTACTCCTACCTCGTGTCATCCTGGGTAACTGCATTTTGGGTCCAAACCATCCTCTCATTGTGACAGGCGATGTTTTTAACTGAAGCTTCATTGCTGGTTCCAGACGGGCTGATCTGAGTAGTCTAGAAGCCGCTGATCTTCAGCGTGTCCTGGGTCTTCCTTTGGGTCTTTCCCAGTTGGACAAGCCCGGAAAACCTCACCAGGGAGGCGTCCAGGAGGCATCCTAACCAGATGCCTGATGACCGAGCTTCTCACCCTCTCTCTAAGGGAGAGCCCAGCCACCCTGCAGAGAAAACTCATTTTGGCCGCTTGTATCAGTGATCTCATTCTTCGGTGACTACCCAAAGCTCGTGACCATAAGGGAGGGAAACTTAGATCGACCGGTAAATCGAGAGCTTCACCTTCTGGCTCAACTCTCTTTTCACCACGACAGATTGGTACAGCGCCCGCATCACTGCAGATGCAGCACCAATCCACCTGTCAATCTCGCTAACCATGTTTCCTACCCGCGTGAACGAGACCCAGAGATACTTAAACTCCTTCACATGAGGCAGGACCTCCTCTCTGACTTGGAGAAGGCATTCTACTTTTCCGACTCTAGTCCATCGTCTTGGATTTAGAGGAGCTGATTGTCATCCCAGCTGCTTCACACTCGGCTGCAAACCGCTCCAATGAGAGCCAGAAAGCGGCTCCAGCCCTGTGTGATTGTGTCATATTAATATTAACCAGAACTGTCGAGGAATCCGACACCTTGTACAATCTTCACAATGAAGAAGTAATGTGTTTCTGATGACAAAAAGAAGGTTCAACCCATCATTACCAAAGTGAACCTAAAAGGATGCAGGAATCATCTTCATAAAAGCAGGTCAGCCTTAAAGTGACTTGCCGTAAATCCTCTAATACAGGCCCGGGCCTGTATTTGACTCAAGCTCATCAAGCCCCAGGCCTTTATTGGAAGGAGGGTCAGTATTAGAGGCAGGCCTCTATTTCTATTTGAGCAAAATGAACTAATGGTTCGCTGGAGTTTTTGACAATTAAAATTGTGCCCACATTTTCAAAGTTAAACATTTCTTTTAACAACGGTAGTTTCTGCTTCAGCCCTCTCCCCCCTCCCTCTGTGCAGCAGCACAAACTCACTGATGCGCCTGCAGCCTCTCGAAGTTCCTGCTGCTCTAAACCTTAAAATAATTATTTCATTTTCTGTTCCTCACTTCTGATTACCTTCAATGGTGTCTGTTTGTTGCAACCACCAGGTACAAAAACTAACTTGTTTTTATTTGACTATTTTTCTGTCCTGTCTGTTTATTATCTTCCTGCATCTCCTCTCAATCCTAAAGAGAAACTGCTACCTGGGTTCATATATATTCACCTTATGAGTTACCTTTGAACTGCAGTTCTAAAAGATCTACCGACTGCAAAAACAGCGGAGTGCTCGCTGCTTGCCGGCCGCATCAGTGATCAGTGCGTCACCAGATGACAAGTTGATGCGCCCCGCTCCACAGCGAAACGCATCAGGCGCAAATAAAAGACAGAAAACATTAAAGGAAATGAACCGACATAAACGATCGCGTGTTAACTTGGTTTTTGAGGTGGCGACACCTGATTTGATAATGTTACTGTGGCCGTGCTCAGGACGCAGATCTACCGACCGCAAAAACAGCGGAGCGCTCCCTGCTTGGCGGCCGCATCAGTGATCGGTGCATCACCGGAGGACAAGGTGATGCGCCCCGCTCCACAGCAGCGAAACACATCAGGCGCAAATAAAAGACAGAAAACATTAAAGGAAATGAACCGACATGAACGATCGCGTGTCAGTACCGACGCTCTGGCACAGCGCGTTGCCCCCCCGAGCGCAGGAGCTTGTCACCTGCTGACAGCAGGCTGCTGTCTTTTCCGAGGGCTGCATCTTGCCGGTCATTATCACGTGACAGTGACTAGTCGATGACAGGCATAAAAGTCACTATAGTGAAGTCGACTGGTTCATACAACCCCTATTGCTCCCCAGTGTTCTGCAGCGCACGTTCTCTTTGAACTTGAAATCAAATTTTCGCCTCCTCTTCGTCTCCGCACGGTTAAAGTTACCCTCGCGGTCTATCACTGGCAAATCAAAAGTGAGACGATGACACAACCGCCCCCGTACTTGCTTGTTACCACATTCCACCCGGCCACAATAAGAGACCGGCCATTATTCACCGCCGCCGACTCCGGCACCGGCCAAAATATGAGACCCGGCCGTTAATTGAATACAGGCCTGTATTAGAGGATTTACGGTAACTAGCATCTCCAGAAATCCTTAGAGGATCATAATTCCATGATGTATCTTGGCAGCAGCAGGAGATGGATATGAACTGCTTCTCAAGTGTTTGGCTGAGGCTTCACAACCACGAGGTGATCATTCAAGTGTCCCTCCTGAGTTACCGTTTGGCAGGCAGAGGACACCAAGTTGGCACAGGGGAAGGGGAAGATTTTGGCAGAATGTACTGCATATAGAGTGCATGTTGTTCCAGAGGAGGTGTGTGTGTGGTAACTGCTGCAGCATCTTTTAGCTTTTTAGCCGACAAAATGCAGCAAAATGACTGACTTTTAAAAACTGTTAGCTATGAGTGCACAGAAATCTAACTAATGATGTCAACGAAGAGGTCCTCTGAGAAGATCCACATGTTGCTTTTATACGAGTGACAGAAAGCAATAAGGTCTGCTCCAACAGCGCTCGCTTCTCTGTCTTGCTGCTTCTGTTCAGTGGGGTGAGAACTTTCAGAAGCAAACTGAAGAGCTCGACCAGCAGATTCAGAAGAAAGAGAATCTCATCAGTGAGATCAGTGAGAAGCTTGAACCGCTGATACGGGCAGCCAAGAGGAGCTTGGAGAAAGTAGAGGACATTAAAGTTGTAAGTAAATTGTAATTGTTATCGTTTTGTATTTTTTATTGCAAAAGGTTATTATTATTATTATTATTACTATCAGTGTTAATATTATTATCAGTAATAATATTACTAAGAATACTAACACTGAGTATTAATAATATCACTGTGTATTCTGTGTTAATTCAATTCTGATTTTGATAATGCTGCATTTTGTAAAAAGTGAAGGTATTCATAAAACGTGTACTTTTTCACTTCAATAAGCAACACTGAGTTACTAACTGGAACATTTACGGGGCAAAAGTTCATTTATATCAGTTATTTAACTCAGACTGAGAGACCATCTAAAGGATCGGGAACTGGTTGCTGGTGTTCTGGATTTGTTAGCCGATTGGAGCATGACACTTTGAATCTAGAATATTGAACAATATTCTAACTGTCTGAGATTTTGAATGTAGGGTTGTCATCAACTGTAAGCCATAATCATCACATTTAGAACAAAATAGGCTGAAATATCTGGCTTTGCCTGTAATGACTCTGTCTCATATATTAGTATCAACCTTTAAAGGTTGAATATGGAACAATTTAATAAAAAGCTATGTAAAAAAAGTAAAACCTCCATGGGGCGTTTAGAGGTGTTCAGAATGAACGTTGAGTATTTCATTTAACCCTCCCACTGCCTTTATGGGTGTGACCTCGCGAGGAAAGTTGACCATTGAGCAGGATTGATGGATTATCCCTTGATAAGTCTACGTGGCAGGGGTGAGGTGATGCTCACTCCTCACCCCTGCCACATAGACCCAAGGGATAAACCATCAACCCTGCTCAATGGTCAACTTTCCTCGCGGGGTCACACCCATTAGGACAGTGGGAGGGTTAAAAGCTATATCTTAACAAAAAATAATCAAACATTTATTTTGACGGGCACAACGCTGGGTGTATGCTTACATATACCAGCCAGTAGAGGGCATCACTGCGGGTTGCCAAATGCGTTAAACAGTCCGCTCGGCACAGTGAGGCTGGCACTGTGGAAAATGGTGGACTCAACAATGCAAGCAGCTGCATCTGAGCCCAGATGTTCTAACGTTAAATCCTGTCGCAAAATAAACTTATTAGTAGAAATAAGTCCTTACCTTATTTTTCACTGGACATTGTGCTGGCTGGCTGGTCGCTTTACTATCATGAACATGACATCCCAACAGCTGGAAACTTTGTTTTGTTGTTGCAACTACAGCCTTCACACACCAGATGTCACTATAGTGTTCCATATACAACATTTAAACTGACATAAATTAACCTTTGCATGACTTTTCCATGAAGTTTCATCTGTACACCACATTCTTGTCTCACGGTTGGAATGAGTAAACAAATGCAACCTTTTTGGTGCTGCTTGGGTAAAGTTTCTGCTGGGTTAAGATGCTATATGCTACAGCTACCACAAGGGGGAGCAGCGATCAGCATCTCATTTTCAATGCTTATTAGCGTATGTCTAATCCAGGATTATCATAGATTCTTATGCATTGTGAAGCCGAAACCTTCAGCAAACAAAATATGGTAGAGAACAAACTGTTACTACTCTGTGTAACACATAAGAATTCACAAAAGTAATAGAATCAGCGCAGCAAAGACAAATAAATAAAACATTTATCAATGCAAAGAAGTTGTAAAGTAAACAATAAGTTGGTCTACATTAGTGTATTTCCTGATTATTCGTTTATGCTTTTTTATGTAATCTTTTATTCTACAGCTGCAGGCTCACACTCAAGAAGCAACGGCTGTGTCTTTGTCATCTGTGGTGATGGGAAAAGAGGTGGAATCAGAAGCGTTCAGCCTACACAGAGAAGTAGAGAGTAAGACTTTCTGTTTCCATGTCTTTATAATGTCATGTTCAACAATTGTCATCAAATTAAAGTGAGAGCTACAGCCTCTGTTACTGTAATAAATATGACATCTCCTATATAAAATATTGTCTGATTTGCCATTTGTTGACAGCACAAAAAGCATAAATGAAATAAGAAATTTGTGTCGGCAGAGGTAGAATACTTGGTTTCTGCGTAAGCAGGATAGGATGAGCTGGACAAAATTCAGCAAACGGCAATTCATTTGGATTTGATTTGATCTTGTCCCTGAATCAGACATGGTGGCGCAGTGGCCCCACCAACAAGCCCAGACCAGGGCTGCAGTGAAGAAAGTCAGACCTTTGGAGGACAAGGTGCTCGCTGAGGTCAGAAAGACGGTCCAAAAGGTCGAGAAGGCGCTTGAAGCTGCTGTGGAGAACTCCAACCTCGTCATTAACACCACGAAAGAAGCAGAGCATATAGCACAAGCTGCAGCACAGGTACGAGTTGTGCTGTTTTGGATGGTTGCCAGGAAAATAAGTTCTTACCAAAAAGTCTTAATTTAGTTCTTTCATGCTTAGTCTTATTCATTGAAAACCTTAAAGCAGAAAGGTATGGGATAGGATTTGTGGCTTAAAGAGACAATGTGTAGTTTTTATCATTAATCACTGGAAATTTCCATCAAAATGTTGTTGAAAATGAACGAAATGTTGCCCAGTTGTTAAAAAATGTTGGCAGCGTTGTAACGTATAACCATGAAAATCAGGTTTGAAATACATGGGAGCGGGTCTAAATGCCATGTTTCCTTCTACGGTAGCCCAAGAGGACAAAATGCATTTTCTGATTTGTAACAAACAGTTACAAAACTTTCGTCAGTCTTAAATCTTGTTGTTTTACACATTTACCTCTTCACTTGTTGCCAGGGAAGAAAGGGAGTCTGATGTGCTTGTTATTTTTGCTGAAGTTTACACTCCCCAGGGCTTTTTTATCCTAAAGGGCATATGTAGGTAACGTCCAACACAAAAAACTACTTGCTTGCAAAGATTTGGGTATCTACTGCCCCCTATCACCAGGAAAAACACACACTGCCACTTTAAGGATCAACAGAAAACAAAGTCTCTCACAAAGTATACCTGTATGGGAAAAAAACAAAAAATGTTGATTGCCATTCATCTGTTTGGAAAAGGGACAGAAAAGGTGGACTTACCCACTCCACGCCCTCATAACCAATGAGAATGAAGGACTGATAAGCCCCTCCCACTGGGACTTTCGTGCAAAATGCAAACACCTGGAGCAGAAGTGATATCAAGGTGCAGCAAAAGCAAAGGGCTGTCACCAGACATGCCCTTCTGAATAAAAGCCTAAATAGTCTGAGTAATATGTAATTAATACATAAATTCTTTTTAATCTACAGTGACCTTGGGTGTTTGAAAGGCGCCTGAAATTAAATGTATTATTATAATAATGATTATTATTATTATTATTGTTGTTGTTGTTATCATTTATTGTCATTATTAATGCAGAATTAGGTGAGAACCAAAAAGACGTCAAAGAAATAAAATCAAAATAGTTAAGAAGTAAAAATAAATATTTTGTTTCAAAGTACAAGTCTTTATTTGTGAATTCATTCATTTGATTTTAGATAAATGTTTTAATTGTTTTTATTTAATTTCTTTGTTTTTATCTTTCTTCCCTTTGAAATTTAAACTTTTGCTTCTGAAATGTTCTTTTTTTGTTGCATTATTCAGATATTTTTATGTTGGACTGTAGTTTTTGAGGCCATATTTAAGGCTTTTGATTGTCAGTTTGTCAGTGTAAAAAAAAGTATACTAATTTGAGGAACAATGTTTTTATTTACAATAGTTATTAGAAAAAAAATTTACTTCAGAAATATGAAGTCTGGGTCCCTTTTCAATTTACAGAACTACAGCTGTTGTACATATTTACCTGATTCAGGAGAAGAAATAATAAGCCAGGCTTTGTGGAGATAAAACATCAACGTTGCAGAGCAAACAAAGTCAGTGGTAGAGTTGCGTTGCTGTTATTCAAAACGAGGTGAGATGTCCAAAAATCAGGAAAGTAGTCCAAATCCTGCCGACTGAAGCTGCTTTCTCCTCCAGCTAGCTGGTACTTCCTGAAACAGGTGCATCTGAGATGAGAAGTTCTGCATTGGGTTCTTCTCCCAGCGGGGATGTGGATCAGGAAGCATCATACGCCCAAACCACCTCGCCTCTGTTCGATGAGAAGCATCAGCTCTACTCAGACTTACATGCACGCTTTTGGCTTGTGGGAATAAAATGGAGAACCTATTCACATGCTTGGGCAGAACATGAAGACTCCACGTGGAAAGGCTGCAGCTGGGATTTGAACCTGCAACCTTGTTGCTACAGAGCAACCACCATTTAGCCCTAATCATTCATGTGTGTGCCTTCGTTTACAGGAATCTAAAACCATCCTGGCCCAGGCCAAACATACCAAGACCGCATCAACTCAGCTCAACACCCAGCTAGACGCTGAGCTGCAGAAACTTTCTGAGCAGGAGCTGCTACTGAAGGAAGCAACGTCCCACGTCACATCAGAGGTACGCTTACAGAAAATCACACCATTAAAACACCTCGGAGTTCATTTGTAGAGAAAGGAAAAATGCAGGGGAAGCTTTATTCGTTAGGAGAAATGTTTACATATGCACCTCAGTAGCAGAGGGGTTTGGTTCACAGCAAGAATGAGACTGGCAGGATTAATTATGAACCTGAGTCAGCACAGCCTGGAAATACATATTCATAGACTTTATGTGGTTTGCGACAAATCAGAGTTTCCAATGCAGACTTGATAAAAGCCATTACTTGATGGCAGTTTTAACTGAGGCAGTCTCTTGAATCACAGATTAAAAAAAACAAAACATCGACATTAAGCAACAAAGTTTAAACACAGACCAAACACCTTTTATTACGCAATGTTCTACAGTAGAGACAACCTTTGACATAAGACACATCAAAGTAATCCTTATACTGTAGAGATTTTTTACAGTACACTCCCAAGTGTTTTTATTTTTGATTTGGGCATAGTTCTTGGGAGATGCTTGACTTCAATAACATTTCCAGTAGAGGAGTGGTTCCGGTTCTGGATGGGGGCCTCCTTTATAGCTAATTTCCATCGCCGATCTGGAACGGGCTGGTCTGGTTATTTTTGGACCGGTGTGTTCCGGTATGGGTCTGGAAATTTCAGGCGAGTGTTTCGATTGCGGTTTGGGCCATCACGTCGGCAGGTGGGGTTAAATGTTTATGAAATGTAATGAATGAAATGTCATGCGTGACTTTTTCAATTGTGCAACTATTTAGTATTTCTGTGCTGCAATAAATGGTCTAGAGAGCTAAAGGCAAAAACAAAATGTTTACCACAGCCTCCACATGTGACTCCAGAGTGCAGTCGCTAAGTCCAGAAGCCTGCCTCACTGCCTAGGCTATAAATAGCATCCAGCGCGTCGTAGCAACTCCGTGTATTTCTCCCATCCAAAAAAATAAATCAAATGAATCCATTCCGGCTGTTTCTGTCCTTAACTAATAATTATATTGTGTTTTAATTCCTTCATCTTGGCCTGACACTGTGCCAACGTCCGGTCTGACCCTTCGGCTGCCATCCATGAGAACAAAACTACTGATCCATCTAGCTCCTCCTGTGGACTCACGATGATGATGAGAGTCGTATGGAACTCTGAAGACGACCAAAACTTGCTACTTGCTGGCATTCTTTTCACGTTTATGTACAGCTAACAAAAACACAAACAACGGAACTCTGTTTGTTTGTTTTGCTTGTTACAAGTGGTGATGTATTTCTGTCAACCAATCAGTGGACTGTGTTGTTGCTCCACCCTAACCGTACTGCTCCAGAAATGTCTGGACCTGCAACAGAAGGGAGCCAAAAAAGTCCCGTGATTGACGTGGTCCGGGCTGGTTGTCTGGACCGGTTTTATAATCGGAACAGAGAAGTTTGTGACCCGATCCATCCCATTCCACGCCAGTTTTAGCGATGGAAGAGGCCTATTTGATAGCCAGTGGGTTTACATGCTTTGAAACCCAGACTTCGTTGCGCTCTAATAGCGGTCGGTTGATGTTGATGAGCTTGCAGTGGAATAGATGAATCCAAGATGGCCTCTCAGCCATCTTCACAGCGGTAGGAGTGGTGAGGAGTACTTGGAATGGACCTTCTCACCTCTGGCTGCCCCAATTGTCTTATTTCAGCACCTTAATCAGAACCCAATTTCCTGGTTTCACGACCTGTGGGCGAAAAAGCACGAGAAAATTCTGGGAGATCTCTCTTGATTATGACAAGTTTTCAGCAAAAATTCTTATCATCCAATCTTTAAAGTATTTTCTCTGTCACTCTGGACTCCAGTTATTCTCATCCACCGTTGTACTAACAAAGGTTCTTTTAGCTCAAATTCAAGGTCCGGTCAAAATATCCAGCCATTACCTCATTCACAAAATGTGTTCTATTTTCTTATCTTATAACAGAGGCACACAGGTGGGTGCACAGCACCTTGCTACTTGTTAACGCATCATTCGTCTATTTCATTTGGTCAGTGCAATAATAAGAGAGATTGTGTCGGAAAATTGTTATCAGCCTCCCCTCCTCTTGAGGCGTGAGATAAACTCATGGCTCATCAGAGCAAAGGAGGCATGAAAGGATATAAGCAAAACAGGTCCGATGCCGGCAAGCAAGGCATCACGTATGTTGCCACATCAAACTGGTGGACAGATGCTGTGTCGTGTGCAGAATGTCAATAGAGGTTGTCGTCCGTCCGATCGCCTTGGTTTAAACTTAATTTTTCAAGCCCCACCTGTGTGTGAGTTGAGAGCTTCCAGGGGAAACCATTAACCTTTTGGGGGAGCTGGGCGCCCCCTAACTCCCCCGTAACTTGAATCCTGAGCGTACTCTAGCGATGTTTCTGGCATTCAGTTGTGACTTTTACAAATTTGTGATTTCATGACGGCAGGAAGAACATCTGTAGATGAGGGAAGCAGTAGCTCAGGAGGTAGAGCGGGTTGTCCAGTAATCGGAAGGCTCGATCCCAGCTCCGACGCAGAATTCTGCTATTGTGTCCTTGGGCGAGACACTTAACCCACCTTGCCTGCTGGTGGTGGTCAGAAGGACCGGTGGTTCCTGTGCTCGGAAAGCCTCGCCTCCGTCAGTTCGCCCCAGAGCAGCTGTGGCTACATTGTAGTTCATCACCACCAGGGTGGGAATGTGTGTGTGAATGGGTGAATGATACACTGTAGTGTAAATCACTTTGGAGTCCTCTGACTCAGAAAGACGCCATACAAGTGCGGGTCGTTTATTATTCATGATTAGAAGTAAGAAACCCCACATTAGAACACAAGGTTCACATTTATTGTTTTTTATTAGTTTCATCCAGTCTCAGAGAAACTCTGGTTGGTGGAGTGTGATGAAAGTGTTGGGTAATATTCAGAGTGCTTCTACAGAAGAGGAATTATTGTGCTTTTATTTAAGAGAGGTCCAGATTTGATCCCATCCAAATTACACAAAAGTTAGGATGTTTCAATTTAAATCGCTGCCCTCTACCTTTTTGTTTAACATGAATCAAATATGAAACAGAAACCGCTTAGAGGATATTTAGGAGCGGTGTGTACACTCTCTAGTATTCATTCCTTCTGCTTTAGCCTGCAGTGTCCCTGACCAGCATGAAGGAAGCCATAGAAGCAGCTAAACTCCAGCTGGAGGCCTACTCTTCCACACTGAGCGAACTTATCAGTAAGATTGGTAAGTCTCTCTCTCTCTCTATGGGTGATTGTCACTGGGTCGTCTGAGTCTACAAATCTTCATTTATGTTCAATGTCAGATCACTAAGGAGTTCTGAGCTTTTTTTAACGCCTTATTTAACATAGAAATAGTTCCAGGACTCTAATCTGGGCTCTACAACATGCCTTACAGCCTGCTCACGAGGCCAAGTGTCCATTTATTTAACTGCATTAAAATAATTAAGCTGTTTTTGACCTAGAATTATGGATATCATGTTAATTAAAACTATTTAATGCATAATCTCATGTGTAATTTAGATAATTGACATGAAAGGTGAGGATTTGACACGTTGCGGTCCATGTGTTAATGTGCCTGAGAGGATAATGACCAAATCACTGTAATTAGGCCATCATACAGGCTGACACTTAGTTTAAATCTTTGAACCTAGAAAAAGCACGGATATCAGAGTCCTGTTTGTTCATGGTGTGATATCTTATTTACTCCATCTATTTTGTCCCTGGTGTGTCCCGCCCCAGATGGGAGCGTGCCGCTGGAGCGGTTCGATCGGATCTTGAATGAGACAGAGCGGCGTCTGAGCATGCTGCGAGGGAGCGTGGAGAGCCCGGCGCTGAGCTCCAAGATCCAGCGGCTGCGCACGGCCGCTAAGGAGCAACAGAGCCGCCTCTCCCTGATCGAGCAGGACATCCAGGAGATAAGGGAGGAGAGAGACAGTCTCAGGGACATCGCCTCAAACCTGCCTCAGTCCTGCCCGCGGGCCAGAGGAGAAGCCTGAAGACGAGGAAGAATCAGGCAGTGAGGAAAATGGATGAAAGAGATGGGAAAAGTCTGGGAGGTTGTTTTAATAAAAGGAGGCCCCCACCCCCCTTTTTTGGTTTAGATTTAAAAATTAAACGGTATTGTGTCCCCGTCTCACTCTCCTCTATCTTCCTATCCCCCCTTTAAGCTACAATTCATTTTCCCATGACTGTACAGTGACACACATACACTTCAGCCCAAAGCCTCTGAGCTGTCCTCTGTCTTCAGTGATTTAAAACTCAATCCTCCTCTTCTGTCTTTGTGGTTTTTCTTTCTCTGCTTTATCACCTTTTTTTAACAGCCATCTTCTGAACTTCAGTCTCACCGTGAATAATAAACTCTCATAACACTTTAATAGAATAATGCTGAATTAGTATCCCTTGGTGGAGGTAAAGTGTGTGTGTGGAGGCTCTGTCAGACTGACACATTCAATTACACTTCAACTCGTTTCCATCGTCTTAGATTAACTACTAATTAGTCACCTTGTCCTCAGCGGGAATCAGGTCAAGCTTGAGCAAGAAATGCAGGTTTTCTCTTTTTTATTTTTGGGGGGGGGGGGGGGGGGGCTCACAAGGTGACAACAACCTCTTTGTGGCTTTCCATCTTGATGAAGTTCTCAAGCAAGTAAGCTATTTTGGTTCAAGGATGCTCACACAGTCTGAATGAGAGATCATCATAAATATCACATGTATGGGATAAGATTTGTGCCAATAAGATCAAACCAAAAACATTAATCCCGCTCAAAATATAACCAAATAAAGCTAACAAAAACTAAATTTCAGAGGCAAAGCAAATAATTATTCTAATGGATTTGATTTATAAAGCTGTTTTTGAGGCATCCAAAGTACTTTCCATTCAAACGCTGCAACAATGTTCAGCTACAATGTAGCCACAGCTGCCCAGGGGCAGACTAGCAAAGGCAAGGATGCCTCTGACCAGCACCAACATTGCCAAGGCAGGTGAAGTGTGATGCACAAGCCTACAACAGAATTTCCTGGAAGGAGCCTGGCTCAAACCGGCAACCCTCAGTTTTCTGGACAACCCGCTCTGCCTCCTGGACTACTGGTGCCCCAGAAAAATGTGAATACCAAAAGCCCCAAAAATTCATAAATAAACAATTTGTTAAAAAAAATTTATTTTTATATGTTATTCATTCATACGTAATTTCGTTGACACACATGTTTTGTTCTCACCTAATTTTGGATTACTCCGACTAGACTTTTATTTTGAAGGGCATGTTTTATTTCTGCTCTTTACATTTGCTGCACCTCAGTTATCTTTTGCTCTGGGTCTTTGGCCCAATCTCAATACTTGCACTGCACCCTGCAGTCTTCAGCAAAGCGCACTTGGAGAAAGTGTGCAGTAGAGTTTGCGTGCACAGTACACAAGTGTGCAAATAATTGCCGAATTGAGACAAGGAGCATTGCATCTTTGATCATATCACATGCCGGGATGCTGGTCGCTGTGAATCTTTTTTGAAAAACCTTTATTAAAAACTTTCAAACAAACAATAAAGCAATTATTTGAAATAAATTTTACTTAATTGCTGCTTTGTCTAAAACATTCAGAGCATCAACTAATCATCCTAAAATGAACTAATTTAAATTAGGAAATACATATTTAAGAAAAAAAAAGAACTTGAGCCTTTTCTCCTGCAGCAATGACTTGTGGGTAATACCTTTGCCTGAGGTCCGCATCGCTGTGGACTTGGGTGAAATGCAGATTAAGGGTGCAATGGGGGCGTGGTCAACTTCTGCACTTGAGAATCGGGACACCCTATGCACTCGCACCCCTGGCCGGGAACGCGCAAATGAAGGGAGCGAGGGTGTAAGTGCGAATATTGGGATTGGGCCATAACCTTTGCAAGATAGCCTCAGTGAGAGGGGCTTATCAGTGTTTCAGTTATTATGGTAATGAGTGTTTGGAGTGAGTGGCTTGAGTGCCATGCACAGAATTTCCCTGAGACTTCAGAATGAATGTAGAAAATCATCTCAGTATTGCAGAATCAAGTGAGAACCAAAATGGTGTGTCCAAAAAAATTATGCATGAGTAGTTAAGTAAGTAGAGTAGATTGTAAACATACATATTATTTATGAAATAATTGATTTTGTTTTAACTCATTTACTGCCACTGATGACATAAGTCGTCATTTCAAATCCAACCGTTCACTGAAAATGATTTGCATTTTTTTACTGTGTGGGCGTTGGAATGAGCCCCCGCATCGTGTGAACAAACATCCCGGTTCTAAAGCCGATCTTCATCCACTTACATCACACGTCATGTGATCAGGAAGCAGAAAATCCATGTGTTAGGAGATCGTTTTGGGCTGCTGCTGTAAAAAAAAAGTGGGGCGTGAACCGGAAAAGCTTCTGCTGATCACAATTCAACAATGGATTATGAAAGAACGGATAACGCTCGAAACGCGCGGCTTATTCCTGATGCAAGAGGTGAGTCTACTCTTTGTTTTGTTAGTTTTGGCGTTGACATCACATAGAGCGCAACGTTCTGTGACTCTTAAAAAAACAGTAAAAATTTTGAAAAAGGCTGGCAGGGAAGGACATTTCTGATTAGGAAATGGCTGGCAGTGAATGAGTTAAGAGTGTATTTTTTTTGTTTGTTTTTTAAATTCACAATTTTGCTTCTGAAGTGTTTGGTGAATTTATTTGGGTATGTTTTGTTTGAGACTATTTTTTGTGGGGGGGGGGGGGGTGATTCTTTTGGCACAAATCTTATCCCATACACAAGTTTGTGTACTTGTCAGTTAACAGAAAAAAAAACAAATAGGAACTTCCATAAGCGCTGTACTTTATAAATGCTGAATATGATCTAACACAGACCCACATCTACACTCATAAATCTAAATGTGTTTTAAGTATGCTGACCTTTCAACAGAAAACATTACATAATGGAACATACTTGAAATATTAACTGTGCTCTGTGTACCATTGAACACCAGTATTGTTATGCGTGATTAAAAGAAAAGCTAAATAAAGTGTATAAATCTGCAAAAGTGACACATCAGGAAATAATAAACTCTGGAAGAATGTGTTTTTTATTTCTGTAAATGTCATGATATTTGTTTGTTGAGGGTTATTCCCTTTATTTTTTCGACAAATAGATTTTCTCAGTTGTCCTTGCTTTCATCTCCTTTCACATTTTTCCTCAGTAGTCATCCTTCTCAGTACTTAAACTCCTGAGGTGGGGATGCTAGAGTTCATCACAGGACTTTCTTCCATTAGTCGGGCTCTGCTAAACTTTGGCCATATATTTATCGGCTCTGACTGCTTCCAATCCGAAGCACAAACACCAACATGTATCATCTATTCACACATGTGCAGCGTGTGATGATATCATCTTTTTTCTGCACAAGCGAGTCACTTTAGGGCCAGAAACACTGGATTCTGATGGATTAGGGTTTATTTTTAAAAATCTGTATCTGAAGTGTAATTGTATCCTTTATTTACTTTCAGCTTTAATTTTAGTGTGTGTTCACATAAACAGTCACACTACTCTTCATTTTTTTTCTTTTTTCAAACATAAAATGATCCGTTTAACCTGAATGATTTTGAATTTGGGTTAAAATCTTTTAACAACAAAATTCAAGTATTGCATTGAATATTTTGAGATACATATTAATAATAAATACATATTCTGACATTTTATCTGCATCTTAGTTCTACACCCTGACTGATGTTGAGGATGCTGATGCTTTTTTTTTATTTAATTTGACTATCTGGAGTTTTTCTGAAAAGGTTCCAGGATCTAACAGAACTGTGACGACATATACCGGTAAGAATGCTGTTTGAATGATTTTCATTGTGGGATATCCCATCCATCCATCCATCCATCCATTTTCTATAGACCTACCCATGCAGGGTCGCCTATCTCCAGCAGCCTTCAGACAAACAGGCGGGGTACATCCTGGGCAATTGGCCAGTCCATTGCAGAGCAACACAGAGACACACACTCGTTGTATGTCAAATCTTTAACCAAGGGAGGAAGCCAGCGTTTCCGGGGAGAACCCACACATGCACAGGGAGAACATGCAAACTCCTTACAGAAAGACCCCAGGTGGGATTCGATCCGAGGACCTAATTGCTGCAAGGTAGCCTCGCAAACCACTGCAGCAAAGTGGGATACCATGAGAAAAATGATAATTGAATGAGTTGAGCGTTTTACAGACCAATAATTCCAAACTCAACGTCATGATGCACACACACACACACACACACACACACACACACACACGTTTCTGTTACCATGGTGATTTAGCAACACTAGAAGATGCAAAAAGGTCAGACTTTAAGGTGTCTTTGTTATGTGTGATTATTCAATCTCTTACAATGTCAGGGCTTAAATGTATTGCATAGTTGCTTTGGATTAAAGTGCCTTCAAAAGAAATAAACATAAACGTTGATGACCCTTATAAGAAAACAAATACTAAAAGAGTTTTTTCACTATTTAAATAGAATATGTGGCCATCATTAGTTAAATTCTTGTCGATAATAATTTCTCTCAATTATTGAGTTACTAAAGCTAATTTGGTTTTTAATCATTAATAACTTTGTACTTAAAAGGTCTAACAAAATTTCTGGGGGTTATCCTAGACCACATATGTCAGACTCAAGGCCCGCGAGCCAGATGCGGCTCGCGGAGCATTTTTATGTGGCCCGCGAGATAAATATCAAAATATATTAAAACTGGCCCGCTGGCCGATTTTACCGCAAAGACTTCAACTCCCATGATGCTTTGCGGCGTCAGCGCGGAGCCGACGCGCCCCCTCCTTTGTGTTTTTTCCAGCGCCTGCTGCCGGTGTCTGCAGCTCCGCTGTCTCGGACAAACTACACTCCTCTCACTCAGCGCCGAGTTTACTCAGCTGTTTTCTGACGTTGAAGCCCAGAAACGGAGATTCTAGCCGCTCAGTAATGTGTTCACGACTGAAAGAGAAAGTTTTCCAACTAACGTCAAGACAGAGCTGATATAACTCCAGCGAACAGCGACACGCTCAAACCAGCACGACTCTGTGGCTGCTGTAGTTCTGTTTCCTCCCCGACACACAACAACGTGGTCCAGCTGCTCAGACATGTTCATCAGCACAAACCTATGTGAGCACCTGTTGTCATCTAATGTTATCATTATTATGATGAAGATGAACAAAACAACAGGAGTCTCCTCCTCAGCTCAGATCAACCCCATGATGCAGGTATCTGGCTGGAACAGGTGAGCATCACAGTAAACCAGTGGAGCAAACTGAGCTTTAAATATGTTGGTTTGATGCTCTTTTTCTGCTCCAAAACATGAAAGTTAACAGGTGAGATGTTGCATTTTCATTTAAGATAAAATGATATTTTTATTTTAGTTGTTGGCCCGTGAGAAAAGATTTAACCTACAGTAAACAGGAAGTGGAAAGGCTGCAGATAGATTAATGGAATAAAAAATCCCTTTATTGTTCCTCAGTGGGGAAAGCTAGAAGTCACAGTAGCGATGACACTTATTACAGGAGAATAAAAGGAGGATAAATATAAGAAAAATGAATAAACAAGAAAACATAAATCCTGAGTAGATTTTAAAAATGCTGATTATACCACAAGTAATGAATACCACTGATGCCTTTTATTTAAAGCTGACTTGCTCGTGTGTAATTTGGTTATTCCACATTCAGTGTTAATGCAGAAATAAGTTTGTTTCCAAATTTAAAGGTTCAAAATTGCATATATGTTGATAAAGAAAATGTGCAAATTTGCCGTCACTTTTTCAAAAAATATTAAGTTTGGCCCTCGACTCCGTCCCAGAGTTTCATTTCGGCCCCGTGTGAGTTTGAGTTTGACACCCCTGTTCGAGACCATAATATTAGCTGGAAACCACATATTAAATATATACAAACAAAACTGGCAAAGAGCATTGGTGTTTTGGGTAAAACGTTTACTGAATCAAGAATCATTGTACATTCTGTTTTCTTCACTGGTAATGCCACACTTGAATTACTGTGTGGAAGTTTGGGGAAACACACACCTGAGTAATCTACAATCACTATCCATACTGCAAAAACGAGCAATAAGGATAGTGTATAATGTGGGATATAGGGAACACACAACAACACTGTTTTTAAAATTACAAGTGTTAAAATTTATTGATCTGATAAAGTTTAAAACTGCAGTAATCATGTTTAAGGCAAGAAATAAATTACTTCCATGTAATATACAGGAAATGTTTAATGATAAAAACGTTGGGTACAATTTAAGAGTGGCATTAAACATCAAAAAACAGAGATTTCGGACAACAAAGAGGAGATGTGTACAACAATATGTGGGGTTGAATTATAGAACAATTTGAGTGAACATTTGAAAAAATGCATAAAGGTAAATCAGGAATGTACAAGTTTTACTTCTAACTACTCCTTTTCGGACTTTATTATTTGATTGCTTTTGTGTCGAGTTGTGTTGTATAAAATAGTTTTTTTTTTACGTTAGTTTGAAATAAAGTACAAGTCAAGTCATATATTTTAGAACCTTCCATTAATTATTAGCCGAAATTAAGGTCAGGTATTCAGCACATTTTAGAGATTTGTCTTTTTCAACACGCCTGAGTTTAATCAGTGAGTGATTAACAGGCTTCAGCAGAGCTTGCTGACCTGCTGAACAGGTGATTCAGCCATATAATCAGGTGTGTTGGGAGCAGGGAACCAACAAAAACATGCTGGATAGTGGCCGTCCAGGACCTGGGTTGGACACCCCTGGTGTGGGCCATCTCTGGTGCTGCAGCAGCAGCTGTGACCGGACAGAGTCTCCTGTCACTGCGGTGTGTTCTGCAGTGAATGCAAGTCCTGAGTCATTGTCAGCAGCTCAAACTGGCAAAAGTGGGCCGACTCAAGGTTAAAATAAAACTATTAATGCATCTGCAAGGTCCAGAAAAAGCTGAGGTCTGATGCCTGCACCACTAGCTCACGCATCTTTTTTAATATCAGCCCTTTTATGTGAGCGCTGTGGCTTTTTTGGCCTCCTGTGGGTTCTTACACCTCCATCCTTATTGCAGCTGGTTCGCTCTCAGATTAATGTTTCTTATATTTTTAAAGCACTTTAAAAATGTTTAACTTT